TACACATTTGTACACCGATTTTTATAATATTGGAGTTTAAGTCACATAAAAATGCCGCCAAAACTGATTGCAGTTTCTTGTTCGGGACCCTTTGGTGACTAAAAAATGATATTTACCAAATTGTTTTTTGAAAATTCATGATTTTTTTTTTAATTTTTGTTTATCTTAAAGTCTACATTGACAGAGTACACATTTGTACACCGATTTTTATAATATTGGAGTATATTGTTAACGAGACTTGGAGAATACTTTTTTCATACTTTATTTTATTTAATTTTATTTAAAATCAATTTTTCTTATAAAGTCTTCATAAGAATCCCATTTTGTGGCCTAATAAACATAAAATTATATAAAAAACATGGGTGGGTATATATCTTTTTTGCGTGTTATGCCAAAATCATGAATTTACGCTTTTGCTCTATTAAAAGAAGCGATTTTTGGCTAACCCTGTATAATTGATGTGCACAGTATAAAAAAGTATTCCCCAAATCTCCTTAACAATATACTCCAATATTATAAAAATCGGTGTACAAATGTGTACTGTAGACTTTAAAAAAAAATCATGAATTTTCAAAAAAAAATTTGGTAAATATCATTTTTAAGTCATCAAAGGGTCCCGAACAAGAAACTGCAATCAGTTTTTGGCGGCATTTTTATGTGACTTAAACTTCGTTCAGGCACACCGTGCCTAAATCAGTCTCAAGCTTTAAAAATTAAACCAACACTCCATTGTTAAAATTAGACCTAAACCTTTTCGAAGGTCATAAACCCGTAACTCAAAAGTAGAAATGGAGCTATTCTGAGGTCAAATTTGGATTAGGCACTTTGAAAAATATTTCAAGAATTATATCATTCTGAACTTATCTATCTTACTCCTATTATTTATAGAACCCTTTCTTATAAGATTAGGTGCATCCATGCATGCTAAGTACACTAAAATATATGTACTTACGATATAATACAAGAGGAGGAACAATTTATTCCGTAAAATATGCATGAAGTTTCGGCGAATTACGAAGCCTCATACGGTATTTTCGTATAGTAGGGAAGAAAGCGATATAATCCGGTATGTTGTGCATTATCTCATTTAGAATGATGCCTTGCCACGCCACCTTGCTGCCGCGACATACAACGATGCACATTCAGCGCAAATGGAACTTGACAGAAAATCGGAGATAACTTATATATAGGTGGAAGCTTTTGTCCCGATATGAAATATACGTCTGCCGTGGCAGACAAACAGTCAATAACATACCCAGTATAAATCTCACAGGGACTATTGTGCTGTCACTGGTGTTTAGATAAAAAATAACTACAGTTCATTTTAACATAAACAATACAAAACTAGTCAGGTTAAAATTATGCTGCACCAGCCTTCACTCAAAAAAAAAAATCGGTCAGCGGTACCCATGGTTATGGTAAAATAGGCGCCAACCAGTAGAACCTTAGTTGATACCACTACAGAATGGCAATGAGTTATTATTACGAATTGACATTTCAGCAAACTGATCGTTTTAATTAAATTTTACCACTACATGTTGTTATATAATAACCGTTTTATTAAAACCTTTTACCACTACACACTGTTGAAACTTACGACTACATATTGGTATATGGTACCCTTAGTATAATATTTCAGCTACTTAAAATAGTTTTTAAAACAGGATATAACAGTAAGGCGAACCTTAGCCAAAATCATTGTTTAATTTGTATTATTGATTGCACTTACCCATATAATTAGGGTTTCTCAACAGCACGGTAAGGTAGTAAATAAATGACAATTAAACTATAAACATTCTTTATTAAAATAAAATTATTTATATAAATTTCCACAAAAATAAAAGTTAAATAACACCTACAAAAATTATGAAATAACTAAATATAATAAAAAACATGGCGGATCCTTAAATTATCGGGGGTAATTACACAAGTGCTTAAAAATTATCGATAATTTTGCTTGAAAGCATATTGCCTAAAAAATGCATGAGTTCATTGTCATATTTTGGAAAGAGCCCGACACCGAAGGTGGAGGGCCCTTTCCTCAAAATATGAAAATGACCGAATGCATTTTTTAAAAGGCAATATGCTTGAATGCAAAATTATCTGATTATTTTTATGCACGAGTGTAATTTGTTTAGATAATTACACGAATAAACTAATTAAATCAAAGAATAACATTTTTATTTTAATTTCAACCCAAAACTTCATTTAACATTATTCAATAATTGATTCAAATGATTCTTTACCAAAACGTGACATTTAAAATAACTGTCACATTAAAATAAAAACTGACGTTATTTTTATTAATTGCCATGGATACTTAGATACAATGGAATTATCGATTCCTAGTAGACAATTATCGCTGTAATCAAGCGATAATTGTCTTGTAGGCATATATAAGAGGGTAATTATCGTACAAATATCCTTAAATTACCGTACGAAGTGTTGGTTAAATAATATTTTGTTTGAAGTTTCTTTTCACTTCCCAGTAAATGTGAGAAGTAAAAACCTTTTTGGTAATATATGCATTAGGTAGGTATTACTTTAAAACATCGAGAGAAAACGAGTTATAGGTAGGTACCTACCTAACCCCCAAAAATCAATATTATAATACCTATAGGTAAAATGCGTTTAACGCGGATCGCGATCCGTACCGGTTAAAATGGGGAGTAGTTCCACAATATCCCAGTCCTTTAATAACTGTTCCACACCTACTCACAACACGATTCGAGTGAAGAGTTTGTCATACGAGCCGAAGGCGAGTTTGACGGTTTCACGAGAGCGGAATATGCAATTCCAAACGTGTTTCAGACTATACTTTTTCTACGTTTCCAAAAAATACCATAGAAAAATAATTTAATTGGAAGAAAGTGAGGTTGGATCGGTCAAAAATTTGTTAGATATTAAAAACAGAGATGTCGCCACGAGTGTATATTCTGTCATCCGATGATAAAATATTTCATTCTGTAACACTTTACGGAATATATGTCATTCCATAGATAAAAGTGATATTAGAACGGTAAAATTCCGTAATAGGAGTAGAAAAAATCAGTATGATATCACAAAACTACGCACTATGCAAAGCCGTAAACAGACAACCACTAAATGGCCGAATTTTCCGTTGCCCCTTCATTCGTACCAAATTTCATTAATTATAACATTATTAGTATTAACCACAGTAGTAGTAAACGTCCAAAAATTACTATTTGTAGTGGTAAGCTATTTATTACGAACCAGTTGTAATGTTAAAATTAACCATGACGCAGAATTGTACAATTTTTAACTATTTTGTTATAATCCGTGCCACTTATAGTAGGGGTAAATTTAATTTACAGAGTATACCATTTCGTAGTGGTATGTATCTCTCATTTAATATTAATCCTAATAACATTGTCCCTGTTGTAGTTAGTCAAAGTCACTTTACTACTACAAAAGTAAAATAAAAGTGAGATTTTTTTTTTCAGTGTTCATCTCCATTTTTGGTTCTTTTTTGAGTCGTAGCAGCTCCATATTATGTGAACTCTAAATGAGGGACATACTTTTGATAACAATTTGGCGTTCTGTTTTTAAAACGTCTAACGGTACACTGAAAGAAACGTGTCTTGTCCCATGTAAATCTTCTGAAAAAGTTGCCCTGGACATTCAAAGTGCATTTTGTCCTGTACCTGCACTGAGGATAAGGTAATTTTACACTGTATTAAAAAGTGTTAATTTACCTAAAATCGTGTGGGTAAAATCCCACTTTTGTTCAGTGTAAATTAACACTTCTTTGGAAAATTTCTAATTTTAGAAAGGTACTTTTACTCTTTTAGTGCAAACATCTAGTGTAAATTAACACTATTATTTGAAGAAAACCTATTGGTGGTAGTGAATAAAGTGAAAAGGTAAATAAAGAGAAACATTTATTTGGAACAAAAATCTATGACAATTATCAAAATCGGTGCATTTTAAAATATAATTTTATATTTGAATCGTATGGCTTGCTTAAGCAAAATGGTTCCTTAAAACGTAAAAGTTTTAGATGAATGCAATGTTTTACTGGCTGTCAACTTGTAAGCAATGAATTATCTTGAGAATTCATCAGTAATCAATTTTTCTGTTATAAAAAATGGGTGATCCCATTGGTAGGCGTCAGGCGGCTGTATGTCGGGGATTTACCACACGTGTAAAAATTTTCCAAAATATTAATAAAAATGTAGGTATAGGTATATAACAACCATTACGCTTGAAAATAAAAAGTAAATCAATTGATTTAATATAAATACATACACACTTAAGTGTGTATGTATTTATATTATTAATGTTACAAGTACCCGACCTACTGCCTTAAATTATTGATATATAATATAGGTCGAGTATGGACATCCTTTTAACATATTGGTATTTATTGAGTATTAAGGCTCAAAGAAAAAGGAAGTATAATACTTACCAAAAAATAAGAATGTCCCCTTAATTAAAATCTAACTGAACAAAAATGTCACACTTCCACAACGCGGTATCTCCGGATAGGCACTGCGTAGGTAGATAGGTACCAACCAAACATTTTAAAACGCATTTCATCAGTTTTTTCAGTCTATTTTGCCACTATTGGTGTAATTTAAGTTTAATTGTGATACAATGTGCACTAGTAGTGTAAAGAAAAAACTCGCATTAAGTTTTTCTACCCTTTTGATTTATTTTAATAAAAAAATAGTGTAAATGTACCAATGAATAATGTTCATATTCTTTAAATGTGTTTAATAAAGTTAATAAGCAGTGTATTTTGTAGTGTAACTTTTACACTTACAAATCAACTCTAATATTTTTACCCCTACACTAAAAAAATTACACGGGCAAAATTTTTTACTGTGTATTTGCATTAAAGATGTCAAAGCCGCTTTCAAATTGTAAACAGCTGTCCACTTTACCCTTAATTTACGTGTTTACTTCTCCAATTTCAGAATAATAATAATAATTTCCTAAAATCTATTTACATACGTGTGCACGCACAGATGCAAAATATGCATACAATTTTCCAGTTTGTACAGCAACCACACGTAACTTTCAACGAATTAGTTTACAAGCAGAAGAGCGAACAACTACAAATGACTAAATTCGGTAAATGCACGGCTAATACACATGATGAATCGCCGAGTAACTTTGCTGGGGGACTTTGAATGGACCTGGAAGAAACTTATCCAAAATACTTTTCGAAGGTTTCAGAGTTAAACCTCTTAATAAGCTGGATGAAACTGAATAAAGTAAAATGTTGACTCACCAGTTGTAAAACGGCCATTCCACGCAATGGGAACTGCAGTTCTTCTTCTTCTTTATATATTGGCCTTTAATCGGATGGGACAGTTCCAAGTTTTTATTTACAAAATAATATTGTTCTATTATATTACTAATGTCGAATTTTTATAAATGGTTTTAAACAAAATTTGTTTAACAAGGTTTTTATTTGGCAAAATTAGGTATTGTGGTTGTCTGTCTAATTCCTTCAAAATTATTTTTTTTAATTCAAAAACAGTACTATTAGGGTTTTTGAATAAAAAAAATCATTTTTAAGGAATTAAACAGTCAACCACGATACCTAATTTTGCCAAATAAAAACCTTGTTAAACAGCTTTTGTTTAAAACTATTTATAAAAATTTGACATTAGTAATATAATAGAACAATGTTATTTTGTATATAAAAACTTGCAACTGTCTCATCCGTTACGCGTGGAATGGCCGATAAGTTATTGATAAACCCTCAATAATGGGGTTTATATTTTTACAATTATAATGGGTATCTTATTTATTATTCATTATTATGCATTGTTTGATGGGAAATTTAATTATTAGGCTTATAATTATAATTAATTTAATATTTATATAATCATAAGGTGTTTTTTCTACTCCTATTACGGAATATGACCGTTCTAATATCACTTTTTAATGTAGAATGAAGTATTTTTCAACAGTTTTTGAGATATAGTCAATTTTGCATAGAATATGAAATTGATTATATCTTCAAAACTACTCTACTTTTATAATTTTTACAATTTTATATAATAATTATCTGTTAAATGTCTGGGATACAGTTAGTTAGTAGTTACTTTCACTTTGAAAACTAGTAATTTTTGACTAATTCATTTTTATATAGTAATTATATACATTAATCTACATTTTCTTCCAATTTCTTGGCTACTATGTTTTGAGTTACCATCATCAATTAAATGCGCGGAATGGAATGGAAGATAATTATTTGACAGAAAGTGTAGTTTCTATTAAGTGAAATTATCTTCGCTACGCTCGTGAATAAAATTTCCACCACATATATAACTCACTTTTTTACGTGTTCTTAATGAAAAAGGATTAATAAATAAAATAAAGAAACATTGATCGCCCCGATTTTCTCCCAATTAAGTATTTTTTATTAAGAATAGGGAAACATCATTATTATACATATTAGAATTTGATGTACATATGTATTATTGGTAAAACATATTTTATATATATTTTTTGTTTTAGGGTTGTTCATCTTAAATTTAATGGTTGTTCCATTATGCAAAGCACACAGTTTTTACCCTATAGGTAAGTTAATTTTTATTGGTGTTTAAAAATCATAAATTAGGTACTTAGCCGTAAACATTTTATTAAAAAATAAAATTATTGTTTTCATTAAAATTTATTAATTTGTTAATATATTTGTTTACTCATAAAAAGTCATAAAATGTTAAATCTTTATCTCATTTATTTTATTTTAATTTATATCGTTATAAATCGATGTAAAATACAACGTTTGTTTTTTAATGCAAATAAATTTGTGTATTTGTTATGATTTATTAAAATATTATAGTATAATATATTATTGACTAGACAGAGAAAGTTCATATATGAAGCATATATGAAGCATATATATACGTACGTATATTAGGGTGTGCCAAAAAAACTCGATATTTTTTTTTCTTGCTCTCCACCCAAAATATCGTAGAATATTTCCAAACAAATATTCTGTTAAAAGCAGAGCTCATAATTTCAATTTTAAGAGGTCCCTCATCGAATCTGAAGTTTTGCCGCTTAAATAGCACAGAAAACTGTCTTTTTTACCTTATTTATTCTTGCAACCTAGGAAGAATTTTTTTTTTCATAAAATCCATGACCAAATCTTACAAAGCATTAAATTTGGACGAAAAAATCTTATTAAGCCGAATTTTTATTTTCATTATTTGATTTTTTACAGAGCTTTAAATTTAAAATTTTACGTTTTTTGCCTTTTTCAGCTAAACTATTGAAGTTAGACGAAAAAGTTAAATGGCAATTTTTTAGCTTGTCTGATGGACTACAAAAAAATTTTAGGCGAATTTTTTGTATCGTCAATATTCTAAAAGTTACAGGCGTATAAAGTCATCATTTTTGTATTATTAACTTTAAATTTAAAGCTCTGGAAAAAATCAAATAATGAAAATAGAAATTCGGCTTAATAAGATTTTTTTGTCCAAATTTAATGCTTTGTAAGAATTAGTCATGGATTTTATGAAAAAAAAATTCTTCCTAGGTTGCAAGAATAAATAAGGTAAAAAAGTCAGTTTTCTGTGTTATTTAGGCGGCAAAACTTCAGATTCGATGAGGGACCTCTTAAAATTGAAATTATGAGCTCCGCTTTTAACAGAATATTTGTTTGGACATATTCTACGATATTTTGGGTGAAGAGCAAGAAAAAAAATATATCGAGTTTTTTTGGCACACCCTAGTATATATATATATTAGGACGCCCCCTAAATTTTTAGTCTATCGTCTAAAAAAAAATTTCAGACCAAAATAAACTCTTAATATTCATAATAAACCTTGCCCCAAAGACGATACATTTCCCATTCAAATTACATGGGATTTTGACACTTTTTTCAATTAATTCGTTTTTTCCCAGGCAAGATGACTAACAGCAATGAGACATATATATTCTTATAGTAAATTGAACGCTCTACAAAAAAGGTATCTAATAATTTTTCGATTAAATCACTCGTTAAAAAGTTATTCGAGGTGAAAGTTAAACGCTGTGTACATTTTCTGATTTTTTTTACTTTTACGGCAAAGTTATTATTATTTCGATGAAAGTTATTAGTATATTCCTGAAAATAGATAATTCTGGTGGTATTAGGGTATACAATTTTTAAACCTGGAAAATAATAGACTGCATAACAGGTAGCTGGTTCTAGTTTTAATCATTTTTGAGACTTTATTTATAACACACAGTCAACTAATTTTAATTGAATTTCAAGTTTTGTATACTTTTATGAAATTTTCCTTCATTACAATAAGTGACTCAAAATTACTCTTACAAGCATTCCCGCCAACACATAGATCTATGCGCCATCACACGGAATTTTTATTGACGCAAGCGCGCTAAAGCGCATTTAGTACCTTGACGGCGCTTTAAGTCCTTTTAGTATTGTATATTTGTTATATGATTGTATACAAATTTCTCTGCATATTGTTGTGAATGTTGTCTCGTACATTAACAGTAGTTATTTATATAATAAAACTTGTTTATTATACACAAAAAAAACAAAATTTAGAATTAGTGCAATTTTTAACATATAGGTAAATAAAAACTTTAAAATTAAATTTATATTAAAAATCTCATTGGAATTACAATTTCACAAATAGTTCTAACCTATAAAAATTTAGGTTCAATGGATCTAAGACAAAATATATTTTTGATTGGAAAAACAATAAGTTCAATTACTGGCAAAAAGTTACCAACAAATAAAGAAGTTCTGCAACTACTGTACAATCACTCAAGAAATCGCAATAAATCTATTGATGACAGCTGTTCAATCGTGAAGTGACAGGAATTTGGAGTGAAGCAGTAATTCAAACTCAAATTAATTCACGTTGCATAACAAAATTAAAAAGTCTCTACGCAGAATACAGAAATGTACAAAAACATCTTAACCAAAAAAATAAAACAAAAGAGCAAGATTTGTCAAATAAACTCGAACAATTATTTGACATTGCTCACGGTGACGTTTTTAAAATGATTGACGAGGAGACAAAACAATTTTTAATTGATCAAAGAACTCGACGGATTTTTCATATAAATATTGCTGAAACAAATAATGAATTATTGCATTTGTTATGCAACGCGAATTAATTTGAGTTGGAATTACTGCTTCACTACAAATTCCTGTCACTTCACGTATAACGATTGAAGCTGTCATCAATAGATTTATTGCGATTTCTTGAGTGATGGTACAGTAGTTGCAGAACTTCTTTATTTGTTGGTAATTTTTTGCCAGTAATTGAACTTATTGTTTTTCCAATCAAAAATATATTTTGTCTTAGATCCATTGAACCTAATTTTTTTTTAGGTTAGAACTATTTGTGAAATTTTAATTCCAATGAGATTTTCAATATAAATTTAATTTTAAAGTGTTTATTTACCTATATGTTAAAAATTGCACTAATTCTAAATTTTGTTTTTTGTGTATAATAAACAAGTTTTATTATATAAATAACTACTGTTAATGTACGACACAACATTCACAACAATATGCAGAGATATTTGTATACAATCATATAACAAATATACAATACTAAAAGGACTTAAAGCGCCGTCAAGGTACTAAATGCGCTTTAGCGCGCTTGCGTTAATAAAAATTCCGTGTGTTGGCGGGAATGCTTGTAAGAGTAATTTTGAGTCACTTACTGTATTGAAGGAAAATTTCATAAAAGTGTGTGCTAAGCTCAAAGTAATTAAGCAAAACAAAAAAACCTCTTTTCCGAATAACATATACTACCTATATTATCTTTTAATAAAAACTAAAAAACTTTAACCTAATTGAATGACAGTCTGTCAATGACAGATGCTTTCTCCGAAGGCATAGGCGAGGAAAATATGAATGAAATAGGGTGAAAAGAATATTTTTTATCGAGTTTATATCAATTTTAATAAACTGAATTTAAGTCACAAGTTTTAATTAGGTACAAACGACGATTGAGTGTCTGAAAGAATTTATCAACGAGTTGCATAAAAACTAAATAATTTTCAACAATAAATAAAATTGTACATCATTAGTGTGTTCTTTGTAAAGTAAATTTAAAAGGAATCGACGTACACAGCCTCGATGACG